TATAGTCAAATAGTATGGGTAATTAGCAGACATATATCTGTTTAATACATTAATAAATGTTTGGTATAGGCCCTGATTTTTCATAGAAGTTGGGAGAAAAGATAAAACTATTGCACAGGGATGTTCACCACGGTTATCACTGAGACACAGAAGCTCCTGACATTCAGATAGTAAAAGAACAGCTTCAATCTTGTACCAACCATCCCAACCATATCTGTTTATCAACCATATCTGTTTATCATGAGAGGATGAACGACTCTTTGAAGGCCATGGAGAGGTCAGTTTTAAACTATTACATCTCCCTGAGTCAGCAACGGTCAGCTTACCACCAGACACTTTTGGTCTGATCTTCAAAGATTCAATGAAGAAGAGCTAAATAGTGTTGGCCAAACACAAGCATGATTAGTGGGTGTGTTGGTGGTGAGCTACAAAGATTGCACGTGCAACTGATAAGAGGAGCAAAGCGTAGGATTAAAATGAACGTGAGCTACTGGTCATAAAAGAAAGATGAGGTTCTAAACCTTGGATATGGAGGTAATTATGATGATAATGAGTATTATTTATAGTGCACTTTTGAGGTATCTCAAAGTGCTACAAAACATAAACAAATACATAAATCAATGAAAATAGTAAAAGCTAAGTGTTAAAGATTAAATCTCATAAAACCTGGAAAAGTTGACTTTGACCCCCCCTGAACCCCACCCCAATAGAAAAGGAGATACAGTCAGATTTACAGTGAGATTACTCTCTAAGCATGGACTCTTAAAAACACACACAAAATTATTTTACCACAAATCCTTCAAATTGTTATTTCAATTCTTTTTTTCTTCACTAAAAAAATAATTTTTAAAACTTGGATAAGAAGTAATCACTTTTGATGATTATATATTGTCCTGAGGTTTATAGTATATTGTCCTGAGGGAGTGGTGCACTGCAAAAAATTGAAATCTAAATAAGTAATTTTTTCTTGCAATAAGTGCATTTTTTCTTGGATTGAGGAGGTAACTGAGACACTTTGCCAATGGAAGAAAATTTACATTTAAAATAAGAAAACACAATTGCATTGTCTTATTTAAAGTGAATATTATCTAATTATCTTATTTTAAGACTAAAAATACTCATTCCATTGGCAAATTATCTTATTTACCTACTCAAATTAATGGTAAATACACTTAATTTAATTCATTTTTTTCTCATTTTTAGATGGTTTTTGCAGTGTGGCATAGTGGTAAGGGCATAAAGCTTGGAATCCTGAGGTTGTGAGTGCCGCAAATGCCAGCCCAACGCTCCCCAAGTGGATAGGTTAAATGCAGAGAGTGAATTTTGTTGCGTGGTACAGTAATGGTGTAATGACAAAAACAAATTGTGGAGGTTTGGCCCAGAGATGTTGACTTTAAAGTTGAATTAAACCTCCAAAGAGGTTTAGAAAGCCGTTTGTTCACAAATCCAAAACTGCATATAATCCATTTGATTTATTTCTCACAGAGGGGGTAGTAACTAATTACATTTACTTGAGTACATTTTAAAAATAATAATAATAAAGTTTTGGGAGTAGTTTTGCAGCATTTTACTTTTTACTTTCACTTGAGTAAAATATGATAAAGTTAAATTTTGGCTATCAATTAAAACAAGCTTGTTTGCACCATTGTGAGACACTTTCTTCTTTTTCGTTCTCAATTATGGGTTAAATGTTATTTTTCTTTCTGCTGGGTTTGCCATGTCATTCAGAGGTTGGGTGAAAATACAGCAATCATTATACTGTAATTTTGCCTATTTTACATACTGTAAACTGATTTTCTAAGTTTTATAAAAAAACAATCTTATTTTGAATAGTGTTCATTCTGCCTTTACTATTTAATTACTGTAAGTCATATATTTATTCTCATTCTTTGTCATCCCAGAATTTGAATATCATTTAATATTTTGTTACATTTTACATAATTTTGTATCAGTTTTTTATGATTCTGGGTATATATTTTTAATTTTAGTGGAATATTTTCTTTAAAGGCTCATTTTTTACTTTTAGTTGCACTATATGATCAAGTAGTGCTACTGTTACTTAATTACAATTTTGGGGTACTCTACCCAGGTCTGGTTACTCACAGAAAGCCTTACATGCTGACTTTGTTTTGCATCTGCACCAAAAACACACATACATACCATTAAAGGTGATAGCTTAAATGCAACCTTTAATGCTATCTTAGACTCTGTTGGTTTGGTTTAAAATGTGCCTAGAACCACACATTCTCATCTTCATACTTTGGAGCTTGTGCTGACATACAGCATTGAATGTGAAAAAAATCACAGTATTTCCTTACAACCTCTTAGAACAACCACTTTTTAGGTAGTTCTTCTCCCCCAAAACAAGTTTTCACTTTAGCAGATCATTACTGGATAATGTAGTTATCAATTTTCCAGAATCTGTTCCCCTTTCTATCCCAAACTGTTTCACTGAACAACACAACAGAGGGTAACCAATTCATTTATTCCCCCTCACAAATTGACGATTTTGTTGATGGGGTCACTAGTTTTCTGCATAATGCCTTAGACAATGCAGCACCATCTAACAATAGGAGTCTGGTTCCTTGGTTTATTACAGAGCTGCACACTTTGAAGCAAAATGCAAGGGAACTAAATAGAAAAAGGGCAATCTGCATGCCTACAGGAATCCTAAAAAAACTGGAAGAACAGTCTACTGCTGTATGAAATAAACCTTCTTAAACTAGAGCAACATATTTCTCTTGCTAAAATCACAATCATTACAGTTTGCTAAAATCACACAGAGCCATAGCTCTGTTGAACTGTCCATTCCCCCCGGCTGTTACCAATAAAGATTTTATTGGATTCTTTATAAATAAGAATAATAATATTAGAAATAAGATCATTGATACCCTTCTAAATGTGATTTATCTCTGAAAGGTGAGGCAGCATCTGAAGTAGCCATAGAATCTGAATCGTGTTTAGACTACTTTGATCCATTTGGATTTTAAGAGTTAGCAACATATTATCTTCATCTAAGCCTTCAACTTGTATTTTAGATCCAGTTACAACTAGGTTATTTAAGGAATAATTCCCTCTGATTTGATTAATCTATCCCTGTTACAAGGATATATTCTAAAGGCTTTTAAGGTAGCTGTAACTAAATCTTTACTTAAATTATAGACCTATATCTAATCTTTTGGTCTTATCTAAATTTCTTGAGAGAATAGTTGCTAAACAAGTGTGTGACCATTAACACCATAATTAGCTTTTTGAAAAGTTTCAGTCTGGCTTTAGAGCCCATTGTAGCACTGAAACAGTTCTGCTGAAAGTCACTAATGATATTCTCATGGCCTCAGATAAAGGACTTGTATCTGTGCTCGTCCTGTTGGATCTCAGTGTTGCATTTGAGACAGTTGATCATAATATTTTTTTTAAAGGCTTTTGTAGGTACTGCACTAGGCTGTTTTAATTCTAATTCGATAGTTTTCACTTTGTTCACATTAATGATAGATGTCCTTCATGCTCCAGGGTTACCTATGGAGTACCACAGGGATTAGTGCTCGGACCAATTCTCTTTACTATATATATGCTCCCAATCAGTATAATTATTAGACAACATGGGATTAATTTTCACTGTTATGCTGATACCCAGCTATATCTGTCTATAAATCCAGATGAAGCTAACCCATTACATAGATTACAGGCATGTCTTGAAGACATAAAAACCTGGAGGACTCTTAACTTTTTGCTCCTGAATGCAGACAAAACAGAAGTTATAGTCTTTTGACCAGAGTCTCTGAAAAAGAAACTGATTGGTCAGTCAATTCAGTTGGATGGGATTAAATAAAGTAAAAAATATTTTTTTATCATGACCTGTTATTTAAATACCATATCAAAGAGGTTTCTAGAATTTCCTTCTTTTATTTATATAATATTGCGAAATTTGGAAATCTCCTGTCCAGGGGTGATGCTGAGAAACTAGTCCATGCATTTGTTACTTCAAGGCTGGACTATTGTAATTCTTTACTATCAGGAAGTCAACAAGCTATAGTTAAAAATCCTTCATTTAATCCAATATGCTGCAGCCAGAGTTCTGATGATATTAAAAATAGAAATCATATTTGTCCTATCTTAGCATTTCTTCATTGGCTTCCTGTTTAATCAAGAATAGATTTTAAAATCCTCATTCCCAAGTATAAAGCCCAATTCTACTGGTAGAATGGGAGGCCGACCTTTTAGTTATCAGGCTCCTCTCCTATGGAACCAACTACCAGTTTTAGTCCGTGAGGCAGACACCCTGTCTACTTTTAAGGCTAGGCTTAAAACTTTCCTTTTTGATAAAGCTCATAGTTAGAGTGGCTCAGGTTACCCTGAGCTATCTCTATAGTTATGCTGCTATAGGCTTAGACTGCCGGAGGACATAGGGACCCCCCTTTCATCATTCTGCTTCATCCTATCTCTATTCACGCACTCTGCAGTATTAATTAGATCTACCCATAACTTTAGGCTCTCTCTGCTTTTTGTCATTGTAGTAGCTACTTCCTGCCTATTACTATTTCGCTGTAACACCATCTTGGATAGAAATATCAGCTGTGCTGCTGCCATCAAAACCTTTGTTTAAAGATATGGGAGTTTGGCCTGTTTTTCTCTTACTATGACTAAATGTATTTGTTGGAAATTGAGTTTCCTGGAGCATTTACAGATTAGATGAAGGTGACTTTTCGGCATCAAACACTCTAGTGTGGGTCTAGTGTGAAATGCTGAATATGAAGAAGCACCTTATGGATAAATGCGGTGGAGGTCCTGTGATGCTGTGGGCCTTTTTCTCCTCCAAATATCTGTAGTTTGACATAATAAACATTCTTTCTTTCTGTGTTTTGTTTTTTTCCCCTTGTATGACTGGTGTAGTTCTGACTCAGATGTTTGGATTTATACCTATTTATCCTCCCTTGAAAAGAAAACAAAGTCTGCTATACTATTGCACTGCCTCACTCTGTGCTTACCTTTTGCACAGGTGCTCATGATTCAGGCATCAAAAATGAAAGAGCTGTGCTAAAGATGGGATTCTTTGGAAAATTATGTGGAGGGGAGAAAAAGAAAGGTGAGTTCTGATGCAGAAAAATGTTTAATGACTTATTTGGGGTCTCACTGATTTGTCTTTTGTTTTCTAACATTTCTCAGAGGAGGAGAGATTCCTGCGAGCGAATGACAGACCTTTCAACCTGTCTCAGCAGTACGCTGTAAGTGTTCGTTGCACATGGAAGCATTTCTACTGAAAAACTGGTTGTTTTTGCTGTTGGAGGTAGAAACTGATACTGTCATAATACTGTCATGGTGTTACCATTTAACCTGGGCACTATGGATAGGGTTCAGAAATGTAAAGGGAAAATGTAAAGCAATGATAAAATAATTAATTTGCTGTGTACATAAGTGTATTTTCCTTCACTTGTGCCAAATCTCGATTTACCAATCGATCTACCTTTACACCCTCACCTACAGCAGCCTTTCCCAGGCAAACAGCAGCTGAATTGCAGCCAACTTCCCTTCAACTCCCAGCAAAATCCCCTTCAACTTCCAGCCACTGGAGTGACCCCCTTTTTGAATACTTTTTTTACTCTGACTCCACCCTTTCACTGAATTACAGGGTCTGACCAGGAGATGCTGATTCTCTTTAGATCTTAATGTCCACAAATCATGACAGAAAGAATATTTTAGTACAAAGATTGATGTTTTAAAAAGCAATCTTAGGGGACCAGCCAAGGGTCTATCAAGGAAAGTGGGTACATTTTAAATGGCTACTACTGTATGGTCATGAGATCTGGGTAATGACCTAAAGATCAAGACAAGATCGTGAATACAAGCGGCCAAAATGAGTTTCCTTGTCATGGTGACTGGGCGTACCCTTTGAGATTGGTTGAGGCGTTCAGTTACCCAGGAGGAACTCAGAGTAGAGTCATTTCTCCTCCACGTCAAAGGAGCCAATCTGTCGAAGGAGCCAATCGGTCGCCTGCCTCAGGAGGTGTACCAGGCATGTCCTATCGGGGGGAGGCCTCATGGAAGGCCCAGGACACGCTCGAGAGACTGTGTCTGTGAGCTGGGCTGGTGTCGCCTCGGGGCCCCCCCAGAGCAGCTGGAGGAAGAGTGTGTGGATCCGGAAGTCGGGGAACGGTTTTGGTCCCAGTGGATTATTGCATTTTGTGCACATTGGGGCCATTAGAGGTGTGTTAGTGTTTGCATGTATTAAAGTAGCTGATGGACTTTGTCCTGCTTGTGCCTGATATGCAAACTTATAATTAATGACATAAAATAATAAAGCAGTCAATGTTAATTTTATCTAGGTGTGCTTTTTTTTTCTTTTTTTTGCATATGACCACATCTCTCTGAGGCTTAGCTGTTTATGCATAAATAAGATTGACAAAAATGAATAAAAGAATAAGCAATATTAATTCGACCTGGAGAGACTTACAGAGAGAAGCTGCAATTAATAAAGTGTTATTGTTTGGTGCTTGGCAGAAGACTTTGGATGAGAAATCTGAAAAGGATTAGATTAGAGTAGCCTTCCCCTCGGGGGCCTGGACACTGGTGCTAGAATAAGCTGGAGGATGAGGGGGACAGGGAGCAGTCTGAGAATGAGGAGGTGGGTGAGAGTTCACTAGTGCGCTGGTGAACTGAGAAGATGGGCTTCAGAGGAGGTGCGGCCTCGAGGTTGATTGGACTGAAGCTTGATGTGGGATTTCAGCAGGTGCTTCAGCTGAGCTTGATGAATCTTTCAGATTTAACTTTCACTTAAACTTAATTTAACCGGATGTACAACAACTTTAAGTTCTAGTAATTCCTCCCCAGGAACTAATCCACAATTTCATAATGTATTTCCAGCAATATTCCGGTCTTATCTCTTATGGAATCAAATATACTTTTTTTTATTTTTTTTTTTTACACCCTTTGTTTTTATTACACCCAACAGCTAATTGGCTTAGCCATAAAGGGTTACTTCCTTGTTTATCCCCTGCACACATACCTCCTTTATTATATTAAATATACACAGAATGGCTTTATTCACCAACAAAGTGAGTTAAAAAAAAGAGTTAAAGACAAAAATAACAAATAATACACCAGCTGGTTGCACTAAGAAACTATGCACCTATAATAGAGAACTGTATATAGGTTGACCTGAGTTATCATATGACATAGATATTAACCATAACTTTCATCTTAGACATTTTACAAAAATATCAGCTCCTCTTCCACGGCTGTAGATCTTTAAGTTACCTCCTGTCCTTTCGTCTTTCAAAATAAAAGGATGGTATTTTTTTCATACAACAGAAACAGCTACCTTCTTTTGAAATAATATAATTTAGTCCATTAAAGGTAATAGAAATAGATTTACAGCAATGCATTATGTCCACACTGCAAAAAACATCTAGAAATAAGTGAAATATTTTTTGAATTAAGTGTATTTACCCTTAATTTGAGCAGGTAAATAAGATGACCTGCCAATGGAATTAGTATTTTTACTCCTAAAATATGATAATTAGCTAATATATGCTTGAATTAAGACAAAACTAAAGTTTTTTTCTTATTTTAAATGTAAATTGTCTCATTCACTTGGCAAAGTGTCACACTTACCTCCTCAATTCAAGAAAAAATGCACTAAATTTGAGCAAAAATGACTTATATAGATTTTCATTTTTTGCAGTGCAATACTTAAGCAATTGTAATATAAAGGGGAGACCAGAGTTTTTATACAATTATGTTAGTTATATTTTGTATCACATCACCTACATTTTAGACATCCATCATGGGATACATGTCATGTTTTATCAATTTTTTTCCCCCCACATCTGGTAAAGAAAACCTGTCTTCTTTTTTTTTCCACAGAAAAATGCCATTAAGACTGCAAAATACAACATTATTACCTTCTTGCCTCGTAACATCTTTGAGCAGTTCAGCAGGCTTGCCAACGCCTACTTCCTTTTCCTCCTCATTCTTCAGGTAGACATTTCAGTCATGATCTCATTAGAAATATCCTGCCAATATGTTCTTGTTTCTTGTTCTAATCTTCATACTAATCCATGGGGATTATGTTTTTGCTTCTGCAGACTAGAGTTTATGCAAAGTTGCCTAATTGTAAAACATTTTGGATTGTGCTTTGACAGCTAATCCCACAAATCTCCTCTGTTCCCTGGTTCACCACGGCGGTCCCGCTCATCCTAGTGCTGGCTGTAACAGGGGTCAAAGATGCTAACGATGACATAGTAAGATTAAAAGATCAACTCCAGACAGGAAACAGAATTAGATACTAACATCAAACATACATAAACATGTTCTACCGTCTGTTTATTCTTTTTTTCATGTGAAATGAGCAGAACAGACACAAACAAGATAAGCAGGTGAATAACCGCATGGTGAAGGTCCTCATAAATGGAGAGTGAGTCACGGCATCAAAGATTTTACAATCTGTGCATGGAAACTGTTACTGAAGGCGGCCTCTTGGTTTATTATCCAAGCAGACTGACAGATGTTCTGTTTTTTATAGGCTAAGAGAGGAAAAATGGATGAACATCCAGGTTGGAGACATAGTCAAACTGGAGAGCAACCAGTTTGTCACAGTAAGTCTGGACTTCTGTCATGTGATACAATCACCTGATTATGTCAGAACTGCTGTTTGACCAAGATTTAGCAAAACAGAAGAGGGTTTTATATCACAGTCACAAACCAATTGTAGAACAATGGCGTTGAGTTTGAGGCTTTATAGAATTGACCAAAAATACTTTGTTGTGACTTAAAAAACATGCAAACTGAACCGGATGAGTGGGTCCGCCCCGTAGGAATGTCTATAAGACAGGTATCGGGTATTACAGGCTAGCAAAGAACTCAAACGACAGCGAAAAGGGTTTTTGTTCCACTCTTTAAAGCAGTGGTCTCCAACCCTGGTCCTCAAGATCTACTGTCCTACAGATTTTGGTTGCATCCCTGCTTCAACACAGCTGAATCAAATGAATGGCTTGAAAAGGTAATCAATCATTTGATTCAGCTGTGTTGAAGCAGGGATGCATCTAAAATCTGTAGGACAGTAGATCTTGAGGACCAGGGTTGGAGACCACTGCTTTAAAGCTTCGAACTCAACGCCATTTCTGACACTTTGAATTAAAAAATCTTTCTGGATGGGAAGGGAAACATCTTCAAACTTGGAGACAAAGTCCAGTGGATTTTTTTAAACCTTTTTTGGAATGGTTACTGTGGAGTAAAAAAACAATATGAGCACTGAGAGTTGAGAGTTTCACGGAAGAAAAGGTTTTATTTTACTCTCCAGAGGAGAACAACATGACCAGCTGAGTGCAGCTCTCAGTGTTGATCTGAGGCTGCAACATCCCAACCCCTGCATAAAAAAGGGGACTCCCCACACATTTGGTTCATCAAAGGACAGAGATGACAATTGTTTTCTTTTCACACCAGGATGTGAGAATCTTGACATGTTTCCCCCTTATCTAACCTAGAGGGAAACTTCCTTTCAAACCTCCTTCCTTTCCTTTCCTTTCATGGAGAACCTTCACCAGCTTATTCTTCAACTGATTTCTGAAGCTAAACCCTGAGATTCGAGTTGTCAACACTAAACCTTAAATCCTTTCAGGCAGACCTCCTGTTGCTGTCCAGCAGTGAACCTCTCAATCTTATCTACGTGGAGACTGCTGAGTTGGACGGGTGAGTTTCCATACCATGGATAGATCCTCCATCAGCTGCTTCTTTCTCACGTCTTCTTGGTGTCCTTCAGTGAAACCAATCTGAAGGTCAAACAGGGCCTGACCGTCACTGGAGAGATGGGGGACAACGTTGAACTTCTTTCGGCCTTCAGAGGTAACAAATTTAAACAAATAAGTTGGGGTTTCTGATAAACTCAGATTTTTTTGCACAATTTCTAAAATCTTAAGTGGAAATCAGATATTAGGATCCTCTGTATAAAAACCCCAACAGTTTCACATTTAGTTGGATTAAATGATTCCCTTTTTAGGTTAATAAGTGTGAAAGTGTCACTGTGCATACAACTGATCATGTGTCCTGGCTACACGACTAACGGCGTTTCCTTTGTGTAGAGGGGGGCCCAGGTAGCCTCGTGAGAACATCCTGATCTCGCAAGCTTTCAAGGTTTCACTCGCAGATCAGTCTGGAGACTCTCTGTTAAAGAAAATTCGGAGCCATTCACCAAACGAACGTCCAATCAGCGTTGGCTTTGAGGCGGGTTGAGGTGTGACGCAACGAGAAGCGCGACAGTTCAGTCTAAAGAACATGGCGGCTTCAGCCGATGAAACTAGCGCTAGCGTGGCTATCGAGCAAGTTTTATCAGAATTACAGAGTATTTCTTCACTGAAAGAAGAGCAAAACACTGCTCTGGAGGCTTTTCTCAGAGGAAAAGATGTTTTTGCTCTTCTCCCGACTGATTTGGGCAAGAGTAGCCTGGCTGTTAGTACGTCATATGCTTCGTTGATCTGATTGGTTTATTTGGCCCGTCTATCACCAACATAGGCCAATCAGCTAACCAGTATTTTCGCCCCTTCCCAAAATTACTTCAACGGAAGGTTTCCAGATGGATATGCGGAGCAAATCCATCTGGCAGAGTCAGGTTAGGGCCCAGGTGGGATTCAATCCCCCGGACTCCAAGGTGAAAGTCGTGCTCTTATCAGTCAGCAAGTTTTTCAGCTAATGGCTGACTGAGATAGGGTTTTTCTTTAGCTGCCTGGTCAATATGCATGACTTTCATGAGTGGGTATGTGGGATCAAATCCCACCTAGGCCCTCTTTTGTGTATTTCCCACTTACCCACATTCAGGTAAAGAAAAAAAACAATTTCTATTATATATATAATAGGAGTACACCACTATAAAAAATCACTTCCTTCTTTAACATCCAAGAAGATCTCAAGATATCAGGAAGACAATTATGGACCACCTGTTTGATTTATCAAGGTTCCTGAAGGTGTCAAAATCATGTGTTAAAATAATTTTATATCCAGACATAATCGGTTCCACAGTTGAATTTATAAATCACCTGAGAAAAAAAGTTTAAACGGATCCATAATTAGTTGAACATGTTGGATTAAATTTGTCATAAATTTCCTATAAAAGTAAACATTGCTGTTTAGACATTACATTATTTACTCATGGAGTTTGCCATTTTCACCTGTGCATGGTTGATGATGCGTTTAGTACTCGAACATACAGAGTTAACCCAGGAAGGCCACACTATGTCACTGCCTCAATCTTTTTCATTAGACATTGTGAATCATAAACAAATTTGTTCTACTGTTTACTATATTAGCTAGAGCTAGCACCATTACCAGAAGGCCGGTGAAGATTCTCGGTCATCCAGGTCATAGTCATTTAAAAAAAAAACTTTAAAAAAAAATTATACTGGACTTAGTTTCCAATCTTAAAGATGTTTCACTTCCCATCCAGGAAGCTTTTTCAATTCAAAATTTCAGGAATAGCATTGAGTTCGAGTTTTTGAAGAGCAGAATGTTCACATTTTGGACAAAGAAGACAGGTGGTTTGAAAAGGGTGTGAAGGAAGCCATTTATGTTAAGAAAGAAAAACCGACCGTAAACAGAGGGGGTGGACTCAGGTTTCAGCTTTTGAAAAAACCTACAATGCAGCGATAGAGTTGATTCCCTCCTGCTATCATCGCATCCCCGACCCCCGTACAGGGGATCAGAACATCTCGCTGCTCAGACAGGCCAACAATTCCCCCTAATGAACTCCTTTCAGAGGCTTGTTTTCTAAGCCAAAACACGGCTTTGGCCGTTTCTCAGTTTACAAGAAGGCGAGTACGGATTCGTGTTCTCGCCAATTATGTTCTTGAGAAGATCACAGTAAAATATGGACTTGGTGAGAACGGGAGCATGAAGCATAAATATGGGTCAATTGGAACAGAATCGTACTAATGACGTCACCACATGCTCGACTCGTCTGGAGCTGCATCTCACCTCCTGTTATTAATAGTCTCTAGATAATAATAAATGATTACTTTTTTCATTTAGTGGGGGATTAATAATTAAGACAGTCAGATAAACACAAATCAAATGAACATTTTGCCAAATAAAACTAAAAAATCGCCATCAGAGCCAGCGGTACTTCACACACGGCTATGCACAGAGAGTGCTTCTGCAGACGGGCTGCGGTTAGCCCTGGCTGCTGCCGTTAGCCTCGGAGCTCTGCTGGTTGCCGCGGTCCTCTCAACTTTGGAATTTTTTTTTTTATTACGCGTTAAATTGGTAAATGGACCTTATATTGATACTTTAAAGTATAGTATTCTTGCCTCAAATGATCTTAAAACGTACATTTATTGAACAACAGCAACAGAAAAGAGAACTTTTAACTTTATACTCTGAGCTCTGTTAGTGCTCCATTGAAAGCTGCTGCTGCCGCAGTGCATGCTGGGACAGCTGTCAATCTCAAGAACGGACAAGTCTGCTCTGATGCATGCTGGGTAAAGAGGGTGGGGCGAGAACAACATCCGGGGATTTTGTCCGTTGTCGGTCTGCTGTTCTTGTGAATTGGAACAGTACTAGGGCTGAGGCTGATGACGTTTCACGAGTACACGAGAACGCACAAGTACACTTATTGAGAAATAGCCTTTGCTTTGTGCTACCCTATAAACCTTTGTACTGAACACTAATTCTGCCACTTTGAATAGAAAAAAGCTTCCAGGGTGGGAAGCAAAACGTTCTCAAACTTGGAAACTAAGTCCAGTGGATTGTTTTAAAAAAAAACTTTTTTGGAATCATTAGCAGAAGCTAACATAAAATCAAAATCAAAGCGGAAGAAAATTAACGACTATTTAAAATGATGGTGAAGAATCTTCCAGTAGTGAACATCATGCTAGGATCTGGACCTTGATGTGATCAGGACCCGGTGTTCGGTGCCTATCATAGCTCCATCTGAGGTAGCATCTCCTAGCAGCAGCCTCACAAACACCAGATTCTTCAGCCAACTATAACTGTCACTACCCAGTCTTTACTAACACCTCATTTGCACATGTGGAAGCAGACATGTATCCAAGTTACCATAAATAATCTAATTACTGAAATAAAAGTACTTATTTCTTGCATCAAAGGATGCTAATCTATATAACTATATATAACTTCGAAACTTATTGAGACATCTCCAGAACTTAGAAGATCAAAGCTTTCAAATAAAATACATCGCAGAGGAGCACTGCATTATAATATTATTTTACTGGCCAGTGGCGCTTTCATATTCAATTTGTTTGTGCACAAACTAGAAAACCGTTAGAGCGAAAGGGTTAATGTCAGACAGTTAGAAACAAAACCTTTGTCTTCTTTTTGTCAGTGTAGGTAAATATATGTTTGTAAATATGTAAATATCTGGTTTCTCAGTGTCTTATAGTAGCTCATATCTGTGTGTTTCAGGGGAAGTTCGATGTGAGCCTCCAAACAACCGTTTAGACAAGTTTAAGGGGACCTTGACTATTGATGGACAACAATATGGACTGGACAACGATAAGATTCTGCTCAGAGGATGTACTGTGAGGAATACAGACTGGTGCTTCGGTTTGGTCATCTTCGCAGGTACAGTAGGGATCTGACCTGACAGGGAACCCTGAAATGCACCTCTTACAACCGATTCCATCTACATATTTCCATCAGATTCCTCAAAAACAAATAGACTCAGACTGGAGGGTATGTCGACAAACCACCAATATTCACAGGAAATCCTGAAATAAAGCATATAACAGCCAACTTTATCTCAATGAGTTAAACAGCAAAAAGGGTTGATATAAACGTTCTAGAAAAATTATTCAGATAAACATAAAAATAAGAAAAATTTTTCAATAAGACTTCTACCTAAAAGTTGAAAAGTTTTTTGGGGAAAAGTGGGATTTTACCAGTAATATATGTTATGTCTATTTTTGAGGCCTTCATTTATGAGAGGAGATTCCCGAACAGAATATTTTAGCCTGGATACACATTTATCTAGAGAATAACGTGTGATGAGATATGCATTATTTAAACTGAATCGATGATGTTGTGTCACGATTTGGCTATGGTTAGTTGACCCAAAAGCAGAGGCAGGGAGGCAGAGGTGAATCTCTTGTAGATTTAATAATGACTTAACAGAAAACAGAGGCAGGTTATCCAAAAATCCAAAAGGAAAACAAAGTCCAAATAAACATGAAACCAGGAGTCCAAAAAATAAAGACATTAAAAACTAGTCTAAACGTACCAGAAACCATGGAGACGTCAGGGGAATCACAATCATAAGGAGGTAGGTACAGAGAGAAGGGGTTGGAGCATGTTAGACGGTGTTTGGCGAGGACCCAGCAAAGGGAAACTGAAGAGAAAGGGCTTTTTAAAGGAGACTGAGACAAAGAGGGGGCTAATGAGGAAACTGGGAGCAGGTGTGCACAGAACAAGAGAGGGAAAGAGCTAGGGAAGAAGGAGAACATAAGAGGGCAGCAGAGAGCAACAAATAGAAACCTGGAAGACTGGAAATAACAAAATGATAATCAAATAACTAGGACTATAAAACATGGAGAAAAGAAAACTAAACGCTAGAAAACAAGGAGTAAAGTAAGACTGAATACTCAAAAGAAAAACATAACAGATGTGTGAACCCTCCATCGCAAAGTCCTGTTTATTAAAAATGGACAGCTCGAAGGGCATTATCCCACTTTTACCATGATCTCTTACAAAAGAGAAATGTAAAGAAAAAGCTGAGTTGATGGTTCAGTATCTCTCGCTGTGATGCGTTACCAAGGTAACCGGCTCTGGCAACAAAACCTGCAAAGGTAGCGATCATGATCATTTAGAACGATTAGGCTGTTTGATTAGAAGATTTTCATAGGTTTCAGGCTCCCTGCAGCCAATCAAAATGAAGCACCAAGAGCGTTATATAACAATAATTATTTTTCCATGGAGAGTTTTACCCCAGTAGTTTAAATGATCAGTGGATCAGGTAAACGTTACATTCTTCAAATTCTGCTCAATTTATGTAAATGTCCTCACAGTTGTTTAGAAATGTTGCTTTTTATCTTTTTATCTTAATTCTTTTGTCCTTTTGTGTAAAAAAACAGCCCCACATCATAATGTTACCACCTCCGTACTTTACTGTACTCTCAGACATGCTAGCCCTAATGTAGGTTTTTTAAAGTTCACGTTACTTTGCTTAATATAACTTAGAAAAGGTGTTTTGCTGTTTCAATCTACTAAAAACTTAACTAAATATTAGTTTGCAGTTGGTAATGCAGTTGGAACGCGTTTAATCTGGGACTATGTGAAGACAGGAGTTTTTATTCATCTTTAGTATTTGGAAAAAAAAAACGCCCTTGTGTTTGAAACAATGTTTTTAGGTCCTGAGACCAAACTCATGAAGAACAGTGGGAAAACCATGTTTAAACGGACCAACATTGATCAGCTGATGAACATCCTGGTGCCATGTGTGAGTTTATGCACGCAATCGATGAAACAAAAGCAGAAGAAAAAAGATTTGTGATTTAGCTGTTAATTTCGATTATGATGTCTTGATTGTTCCTCTTAGATTAACGCCTCTCCTCTTTTGTTAGATCTTCGGTTTACTAGCAGTTATCTGTGCCGGTTTGACTGTTGGCCACTCCATCTGGGAAGGGAACCAGGGCTCAACCTTCACCGCGTTTCTTCCCCGTAAACCAGGCGTTGGCATTCCTCTGTCGTCTTTCTACTCCTTCTGGTCTTATATCATCGTCCTCAACACGATGGTCCCCATTTCTCTCTACGTCAGGTATGCAGCCTCCGCCTATAAACATGATGACCATAGATTAGGTACAGTTACGGTACTACATGGAGGACTCAGCACCTTCTCTGGTTTCTTCTGTATGCCAGTGTGGAGATGATCCGTCTCGGAAACAGCTTCTTCATAGACTGGGACAGGAAGATGTACTATCCTAACAAAGACACTCCCGCTCAGGCGAGGACCACCTCCCTCAACGAGGAGCTGGGTCAGATTAAATACATCTTCAGTGACAAGACCGGTACTCTGACTCAGAACATCATGACGTTCAACAGGTGCTCCATCAACAGGAAAAACTACGGTAGGAATCAACATTTAGAAAGGAGGCAAATATTTTCACCCCTGTTGAGTTTCTTTGTTTGTGTTTCTTATAAAATGGGCATGTTCTTATTGTTGCTTGGTTTTTTTGGAAATATTTAAGAAATATTTTTTCTCTCAAGGAAACAGCTTAAAATTTGCTAAAGAAACATTTTTAGAGGAAGCAGTTTCAGACTCATCTTCTGTGCTGAGATTTTATGTACATAACCCATTAGCCCACGTTGTTGCAAAGGCATATCTTTATTAGGAAAACAATTTCAATTCACAATACTCCCAAAACAAGTATTTCTGCTGATTTGATTATCTTCCATAGAAACTAGAAATATGTAACTTGTGTTGTAGATCTGTTTTGGTTTGCAGGGACTGCACTTCTATTAATTTTATAGCATTGATAAAATGATAGAAATTCCACAAAATATGGAGCGATATACACTCACCGGCCACTTTATTAGGTACCCCATGCTAGTAACGGGTTGGACCCCCGTATGTACGGTGGCTGAGAAGTGCAAAACACATTTACAATTCAAAAACACATTAACAAATAAAAAACAAAATAACATTTGAAGAAACAAAATTATATTTTGTGAAACAAATGTATTTTTGAAAAAAAAAAGTTTAAATTTTTAAAAACACATTTACAATTCAAAAACACATTAACAAATAAAAAACAAAATAAGATTTGAAGAAACAATTATATTTTATGAAACAATTTATTTTTGAAAAAAAAAGTTTAAATTTTTAAAAACAAATTTACATTTAAGGAAACAAATTCACATTTTAAATAAGTTAGATTTTAGGTGAGAGAAAGTTTCATTTTAGAGAAAAAAAATACATTATAGGGAAACAAATTTACATCTAAAAAAAAAATGACCGTTCGGAAACACTTGTACAAGTGCAAAGACAAAACTGCAAGTGGCAAAACACATTTACATAGCCAAAAACAAATTAACAAAAGACGGCTACACGGAAAGGGAATGTCCCAGTGGCCGGATGTGACGTCACGATTACCGACTGACTTGTAGTACAAACAGCTCAATCTGTAGTCCTCCTGCTTCACGTGAAAAGTCAGCGGCGATTTTAGATGGAAAGAATTGCACTGAAGCTGTTTTTCTTAAGTTTACGCTAACCGAACAATGTTTTCAGCCAATTTACACCATTTTGTTCTTCGTGCGGACGGTCTCTGGAACTTTTACGGGACACGGTACAAGGTGGCAGGACCAAGCAGCAGGGCCGGGCTCAATTCGTGACAGTGGCTGCCGGCAGAGCCTGCCATCGGAGAGGCCGATGGTGGCCGCTGCCGGCAGAGCTTGCCATCGGAGAGGCCGATGGTGGCCGCTGTCGGCAGAGCCTGCCATCGGAGAGGCCGATGGTGGCCGCTGCCGGCAGAGCCTGCCATCGGAGAGGCCGATGGTGGCCGCTGCCGGCAGAGCTTGCCATCGGAGAGGCCGATGGTGGCTGCTGCCGGCCGAGGCCACTTATTCGCAGATAAAGTACTCCGTTCCATCAAGTAAATGTGACATTATAAAAGTTTTAATGCAGTTTATTAAGCAATAACATCACAATAAAAAGAAACCCATAAAGAATACATTTTAATACAGGTTATTAAGCGATAACATCACAATATATAGCCTATATATATATATATATATATATATATATATATATATATATATATATATATATATATATATATATATATATATATATATATATATATATATATATATATATATAAAACAATCTAGTTGGAAGTACTATAAATAAGGCATTTGCCGAAAAACGGCAGGAAAAATACCCAAAAAATAATTAAATACCAAAGAAAAGTAATTAAAAAACTACATGACAAAATAATAGTGGCTCCGGCCAGTAATACGCCCGGCCCTGCTGCTTGGTCCTGCCACCTTGTACCGTGTCCCGTAAAAGTTCCAGAGACCGTCCGCACGAAGAACAAAATGGTGTAAATTGGCTGAAAACATTGTTCGGTTAGCGTAAACTTAAGAAAAACAGCTTCAGTGCAATTCTTTCCATCTAAAATCGCCGCTGACTTTTCACGTGAAGCAGGAGGACTACAGCTTGAGCTGTTTGTACTACAAGTCAGGGTAATCGTGACGTCACATCCGGCCACTGGGACATTCCCTTTCCGTGTAGCCGTCTTCTGTTAATTTGTTTTTGGCTATGTAAATGTGTTTTGCCACTTGCAGTTTTGTCTTTGCACTTGTACAAGTGTTTCCGAACGGTCATTTTTTTTTTTGATGTAAATTTGTTTCCTTATAATGTATTTTTTTTTCTCTAAAATGAAACTTTCTCTCACCTAAAATCTAACTTATTTAAAATGTGAATTTGTTTCCTAAAATGTAAATTTGTTTTTAAAAATTTAAACTTTTTTTTTCAAAAATACATTTGTTTCATAAAATATAATTTTGTTTCTTCAAATGTTATTTTGTTTTTTATTTGTTAATGTGTTTTTGAATTGTAAATGTGTTTTTAAAAATTTAAACTTTTTTTCAAAAATACATTTGTTTCATAAAATATAATTTTGTTTCTTCAAATTTTATTTTGTTTATTTGTTAATGTAAATTTGTTTGCTAAAATGTAAATTTGTTTTTAAAAATTTAAACTTTTTTTTCAAAAATACATTTGTTTCACAAAATATAATTTTGTTTCTTCAAATGTTATTTTGTTTTTTATTTGTTAATGTGTTTTTGAATTGTAAATGTGTTTTGCACTTCTCAGCCACCGTACGTATGCCTTCAGAACTGCCTCAATTCTTCGTGGCATAGATTCAACAAGGTGCTGGAAGCATTCCTCAGGGAGTTTGGTCCATATTGACATGATGGCATCACACAGTTTCCGCAGATTTGTCGGCTGCACATCCATGATGCGAATCTCCCGTTCCACCACATCCCAAAGATGCCTTATTGGATTGAGATCTGGTGACTGTGGAGGCCATTTGAGTACAGTGAACTCATTGTCATGTTCAAGAAACCAGTCTGAGATGATTCCAGCTTTATGACATGGCGCATTATCCTGCTGAAAGTAGCCATCAGAAGTTGGGTACATTGTGGTCATAAAGGGATGGACATGGTCAGCAACAATGCTCAGGTAGGCTGTGGCGTTGCAACGATGCTCAATTGGTACCAAGGGGCCCAAAGAGTGCCAAGAAAATATTCCCCACACCATGACACCACCACCACCAGCATGAACCGTTGATACAAGGCAGGATGGATCCATGCTTTCATGTTGTAGACGCCAAATTCTGACCCAACCATCCGAATGTCGCAGCAGAAATCGAGACTCATCAGACCAGGCAACGTTTTTCCAATCTTCTATTGTCCAATTTCGATGAGCTTGTGCAAATTGTAGCCTCAGTTTCCTGTTCTTAGCTGAAAGGAGTGGCACCCGGTGTGGTCTTCTGCTGCTGTAGCCCATCTGCCTCAAAGTTCGACGTACTGTGCGTTCAGAGATGCTCTTCTGCCCACCTTGGTTGTAACGGGTGGTTATTTGAGTCACTGTTGCCCTTCTATCAGCTCGAACCAGTCTGGCCATTCTCCTCTGACCTCTGCATCAACAAGGCATTTCCGCCCACAGAACTGCCGCTCATTGGATGTTTTTTCTTTTTCGGACCATTCTCTGTAAACCCTAGAGATGGTTGTGCGTGAAAATCCCAGTAGATCAGCAGTTTCTGAAATACTCAGACCAGCCCTTCTGGCACCAACAATCATGCCACGTTCAAAGTCACTCAAATCACCTTTCTTCCCCCTACTGATGCTCGGTTTGAACTGCAGGAGATTGTCTTGACCATGTCTACATGCCTAAATGCACTGAGTTGCCGCCATGTGATTGGCTGCTTAGAAATTAAGTGTTAACGAGCAGTTGGACAGGTGTACCTAATAAAGTGGCCGGTGAGTGTTGAAACTTGTGTGAAGGCACTCAAAGGGAGACATGTATTTTTGTTTTGTGCCTACAGTAAAACGATATAAAAAGATATTTTAAGCTTCTTTACAACTTGCGACTATGACATTTTAACTATAATGCCCATAAAAATCAGAGTATGAGCGGTAAAGCGTTGGAAAAAAAGGACAACACCTGATTTCCACTTTCAAGATGGCTGCTGGTCACATCAACAGAAGTTAAACTTTCTTACTTTGGCTGTTATTATGTATGCAGCATGAAGAAAGTTAAAGAAAGGTGGTATGAATTTGCTGGGTTACATTTTGAAAAATAAATCTCAATTTTTTTTTTCTTTTTCATTTTAATTAAGTAAAAGGATGAGCAGTCTTGAAGAAGAAAATTAAAATGCAAATAGGATGATTGATTACTAATTTTATTTATGAGTCAAGTAATGCAGCCACATTCTTAAAATGAAAAAGAATTTCTGAAAATGCTTTTTCATTTGAAATATGGTAACAATTTGCTTCCATAGAATTAACCCTAAAATTAGGGTTGAATGCTAATTTAATGATTCTGACAAATATGTCTGGTTAATCCAGGGGAGCTGTACGACTTTTATGGACATAGAATGGAAATAACAGAGGTAAAGCAGCCTAATCGGCACCAGACCATATTTACCAGGCTTTATCGATGTGCATTGTCTATTCATCCAAATTTCTTTACAGAAAGCGCAGCGAGTGGACTTCTCCTGGAACCAGCTGGCAGATCCAAAGTTTGTCTTCCATGATTGCAACCTGTTGGAAACAGTAAAGGAAGGAAACCTAGAGGCCCAGGCCTTCTTCCGCCTGCTGGCTCTGTGCCACACCGTCATGCCTGAGGAAAAGAGGGAGGGTCAGAGCCTACGATGATTTATTTGTTTCTATTATAAGCAATGACATAATTAAAGGAAATATTTTAAAAACTGTATCATATAAACATAATTAAACTTTAATTAAAGCTACAGTGTGTAATAATTACAGGCATATAAAGTCAGAAATTTAATATATTATACATAACTATGTTATTTATCATCACCTATGAGCTCAGCCTTTTAACCATAATATTTGCGTTGCCTTAGAATTCGTTATTTATAATTACATAGGAGCGGGTCTCGCAGCCATGGAGGCTGACATCTTTGCGCTACGGCAAGCGCAGAGGCAACAAACTAGCGATTGCGAGATCTCCCATGACGCTCAAAAATAACTACGGCAAGTTGAGAGAGATTTAACTGAGACGGTACTGAACAGTAGATGGCAGTATTATGCCTGAGAAGCGTTTAGTCTGCCTGAAACCAAAGAAGAAGAAGAAGCAGGTATACTGCGCCTCAGTAACAAGAAAGGTGAACAAGGCGGCAGGCGTGAGTGACTTTGCAAACTGTTTGGCACTGTGTGGCCAAACATCAGACGAATGGAGGATCATGCCTACTCTGTATCACAACGAAAAGCGGCGGACACCGAACCCCCGTCATCTAAGAAGCGGAAACACGACGAGAATAAACGCAAGCGTGACAAGAAACGGCAAAAAACACGGATCAACATTGGCACGGCATTTACACGATGGAAGTCACTGATGGAGGAAAAAGGTTTTCAAAGTGACGCTCAAGTTGCCAGTTTTCTCTTTGACAGGTAATTAATCCTACACACACAATTGTCTAATATCACTGCAGTTTTTGGAGTACAGGATGCTCAGACCTGTCTAAAACAATAACATGCTGCGTGATGATGCTGTTACTCTCCAGTATACTTATTCAGCAACGTCCCTGACGTTTCACAGGTAATGATTCAGTAATTTTCTGTAAAATAATTTTCTGGATATATACCTCGGTTACTTCTCTCCGGCTCCTTTGGAGATCTTCAAGCCTTTCCTCCTCTGCTCTCACCCCGCTGGCTCCCCTCTCTCGCCTGGCCCTAGCTGCACGGCCTCCCTGCCTTCGCCCTCGTCCTCTCCCTCTCCCTCGCGTTGTAACCCCCGTGCCACCAAAATGACTTGGACTCTGTAAACGGGGGATATATATTCTTCCAGCGAACACAATCTCGCTGTTAAACTAATGACTACAATTACTTCGTCTGTTTATATCACCATGCAAAGCAGCTCACCAAGACGTCACAACGATGTAGAAAAAATAACGGGTATATTTATTATCTTAAGTCTACATGAAATCTATACCCTACACAGACTAATGAAATACTATCTGTAAAATTATCTATGTAAACAAACCTCATCACTTGAGAGGGTAGGTGATGTGGACGTCGTAGAAGAAATTTTGTCCCGTAACGCTCGCCGTACTGTTGGGGGGGAGAAGCGGTGGTGGGGAGATGTTCATGTTGCTGCGGTCTGTAGTCTGACCGCTAGATGTCGCTGAAAATTACACACTGTAGCTTTAAATACTTTGAGGATTCCAAGTTCAACACCTAAGCTGGTTGCAGAAAGAACTCATTTGAATTAAAAGTATAGTAAAAGTACTTGTGATTCTGCACATGTTGCTAGGCAATATGGCTGCTGACCAGGGCAATGTGGCGCTAGGAGGGAGCCACACATTTTAAAATAAAACATCTAAAAGACATGCTGGTGAAACTTCACCATCATCCAGGTCATATCTATTCCAAAAAAAAGTTTTAAAAAACAATCCACTGGACTTTTTTTTACAAGTTTGAAGACGATTCCCTTCCCATCCAGGAACCTCCTGGATGAGAGAGAATCTAAAGGACATGTGACTGAAATCTTAAAATGATCCAATTGATGATTATAACTGATTTTCTAAAGGGATTCTCTGGTGCCTTTAAGTCAAGGTAGAAATGAGCTCTCCTTTGGGGTTTGCACTCCGTTTTTTTCACTTAATTTTTATAAAAATTTTTGCAACTTACACAGACATATACACAAACCCACATTCCGGCTGCTGCTCTATATGGTATACTTAAAAAAGAAGCAAACTTTGAAAGTATATACAAGTTAGGCTTACAAGTAAAGTAGGTCACATGGTTAAACATAAGTAACTTACAAACATAAATGTAGTTAGTAATTAAATAAGAAGCACCAATGGAAATAAACATTAAATAGAAAATAATAAGTAAATATAAAAAGTACAATAGAAATAAAATACACTGCAAAAAATGGAAATCTAAGTAAGTAATTTTTTTCTTAAAGTAAGTGCATTTTTTCTCTAATTGAGGTCGAAAGTGAGAGACTTTGCCAATGGAACAAGACAATTTACATTTAAAATAAGAAAAAACAATTGCGTTGTCTTATTTTAAGTTCATATTATCTAATTATCTTATTTTAAGAGTAAGGATACTAATTTCATTGGCAAATCATCGTATTTACCTACTCAAAGTAAGGGTAAATACACTTCATTTAAGAAATGTTTTACTTATTTTAGGATCTTTTTTGCAGTGTAGAATACAATGAAAGAAAGAAAAAAATAAATAAATAGAAAAATATAAATAAAAAAGAAAAAGAAAAGATAAAGTTTTACTGCATTAATATGGTCATGGCCACTTTCCACCTATTAACAAATATGTCTTTTTGAAGCCTCAGGCAATAAGTTATTTGTTCCATATAATAGATTTCCCAGACCTTTTCAATCCACATTTTGTATGTTGGCGGGTCAGGCTTCAAACATTTAACTGTGATGCATTTAAGAGCTGCAATCAGTAATATTTGTAGAAGGTATTTTTTTCCTCTTCTAGTAACGTGTTTTGGTAATAATCCAAAAAGTACCATCTCAGGGTCTTTGTTAAAGGTTTTCTGAAATACTTTTCTAAGGGCCTCGAATATCTCGTCCCACAGTTTTCTCAATTTAGGTCATGTCCAAAATATATGAGTATGGTTGCCGATGTGTGACTCACAACTTCTCCAGCATTTATCTGAGTGTATGGACCCCATGGACCCGTGTAAACTGGGGGCGAATCTTGGATCTGATGTGGACAGGACTTGAAGGTGTTTGATGTTTAGACTTTTAGGAACCATCCATGAACACCACGTCTTGTTCCCTTTGTTGTCTGCCAGGAGAGCTCAACTACCAGGCTCAGTCCCCTGATGAGGGCGCTTTGGTGACCGCCGCGAGGAACTTTGGGTTTGTTTTCCGCTCGCGTACGCCAGAGAGCATCACAGTCATGGAGATGGGGAAGAAAGTTATATACGAACTTCTGGCTGTACTGGACTTCAGTAACGTGAGGAAGAGGATGTCAGTAATAGGTAGGAGATGGACGGACAGATGGATTCCTCATGTCAGGTTGATCACACATTGTCTCTCTAACTCCCTTCCAGTTCGCAACCCAGAGGGAAAGATGACCCTGTACTGCAAAGGTGCAGACACCATCATCTATGAGAGATTACACCCCTCCTGTGATGAACTGAAGGAAGTTACCACCAGACATCTTAATGTGAGCAATACATTCCCTAATCTGAGATGTTTGTAGAATTTTGATCTAACATTTTATCGACCCGTCTAAGTTTAAAGTATGTGTTTTTAACAGCTCTATGATTTTTTTTTAACTAGGAATATGCAGGAGATGGCCTTCGTACTCTGGTCCTGGCCTACAAGGACTTGGATGAGCACTACATGCAGCGTTGGATGGACCGCCACCACAAGTACAGCACGGCCATGGAGGGACGAGAGGAGAAACTCGATGAACTTTATGAAGAGGTTGAAAAAGATCTGATGGTCAGTTCAGTTTGGCTTTAACTTCTTTGTGCATCATCTGGTTAAAGAAGAGGATGGCTGAGAGCATTGGGTCTCTAACTCGATCTTCTCCCTTTGGTTCCCAGCTTTTAGGTGCCACCGCTGTGGAGGACAAGCTGCAGGACGGTGTGCCTCAGACAATAGAGCAGCTGGCAAAAGCTGACATTAAAATCTGGGTACTGACTGGCGATAAACAAGGTTGGTGTTAAGGAAGAAATAATACATTATGTGCAATTTTAATCTTTAACTATCCTTATCAATGCGTCAGTTTTCTTCTCATCATCTATGATTAACACCATTGTTCTTCTGATTCTTCTTGTTCTGAAAAAGAAACTGCAGAAAACATCGGCTATTCTTGCAACATGCTGAGGGAAGAGATGACAGACATTTTTATTGTGGCTTCAAATACAGCCGACGGGGTCAAGAAGGAGCTACAGTAAGTCAACCAGTAACTATTTATGGTTCGGTTTAGATCATGTTTCCTACAAACCCAGCTGTAAATAAAGCCTTTCACAGATAAAGATGTTTCCAGAATTAGTGCTGCTCCCCATAAAGAAATTCTTTCACATAAGGGAAAATAAAGGAAGTTTGTCTCAGCTGCAACAGTGGGTGGGGAGTTGGTCTGGTAATTTTCTGGAAAGGGACACGTCTCAGCAACTGCTTTCTTCTTTTTAGTAATGTTTCACAACATTATGTTAACCTGCGCCACAGAGCTAAGGCCACACACATTGCTGTCGTTTTAACCAACCACCCACCCCCACACACACACACCTTCAACCAAGGCACCTTTCACAGCTGCGAGTGAGACTTCTTTAGTAGTGACACTTGATAGTTAAGGGTTGGTTTTGGATTCAGCCATGCACTCGCTCTTTAAGGGCTGAACGGTCCACTCACCCTACCCACTACGGGGTTTGGGACAGGACTTAATGTGGCAAACCCTCTGCGGGAACACGTAAAGTGGAGGGTTAGCACCCAGGGTTAGCTTTTAGGAGCTGGTTTGGGTCTGGGCCTATTCTCTCTACGTACACCAGGCCCCCTCCACAGCTGTGAGTGTGAATTTATTGCGAATGAAACTTGATAGTTAAGTGTTACTGGTTGGGGGATGGTTTAGGATTCAGTCTTAGACATAGGTGCATTTCATTTAGGGTCTCTATAAGTGTCATGATTGTATCAAGAGCTCGGGGGAAAAGGTTTAACAGGTTTATTGAAGATATAAGGCAGAATGAAGTGTTGCTCTGAACACTTCTCAACCGGAACTGAAAAGTGAGGGGAAGACACAGCGGTTAGTTCAGGCTCAGTGGGAAATTTGATTCATGAACTTGAAGAGGAGGATTTGGTTGCTGACTCACGTTTCCAGAGAAGTTGCTGACTCTTTGACTCCAGTCTGTGTGCTGTTGTTCCAGTGTTTGTCTGATTCGGTGGAGGGCGGAATAGGGTTTACCCAGAATGCAGTTGTTTGTAGGTGAACGGAGAAACTGACTGCCACTCAGATTTCCTGCGGTACTTGAACGGGTCATAGTGGAGATGAATCCCTTGCTCAGTGTGATGCTCAAACGATCTCTTGAGGAAAAGTAGATTCAAACCTCCAGTTTAAATCCTTAGCTCAGTTTGAAGCTCAGATGATCCTTCCAGGGAGTGAAGGTCCAAAACACCCAGTTTGCAGGATGACTTCCTGCCGAGAGGCAAAGACAAAAAGAGCAAGATTAAGAACACAGTTTGACTCAGCAAAACTCAGCTTGGCTAAAGTACCCCAAACTGGCAAACACTCTGGCGTCGAGGTAGTGGCAGTCAGCTGCTTAAGAGCGCTTAACGAGGTAACCATCTGCAGGTGTGTGAGGAGGCGGACCAGAACCAGGCGCCTCCTGGTGGAGGAAGGGAGACAAACACAGAAACACAAACACACAGACAGGAATCCTGACAATAAGTATGAGACAATAAGTTGGTTTTAACTCGCCTCTAGGTCCAAACCCCCATTAAATGCCGTATCTGGTTCTGTTTGATAGCCTCTGAGTATAGGGAATAGTTTATTTGTATTTCATTCAACCGTGTAATAAAGACGTAATAATGTAATTTCTGATGTAAATATGAAGAACAATGCATTCTAGGTAAATTAAAGTTGGATATTTAGTAAAGGTAAACATAAGATTGCTGTTTCTGATACAGCAAAAAAAAAACAATAAAGTTATATGTCATAAGTTTCTGTCCTTAAATTGTAAGAAATCCTTTCATTAAACATTATTTATCTGTTTTCACTTGTATAAATTTGGGAAACAGAGAGAATGATTGTAAAATATTTGTTCCAGTTGTGATTTGTCTGTTATCGATTCCCCTTTTTTAGGAATGCCAGGAGGAAAATGTGTCCCGGCGCAGCAGAGGAGCCCAAAGTGATCAAAGCTCGAGCTGGCCTGCTCTGGCGCCAGAAGACCCAGACCGTGCAGGATGAGGCAGTAGAAGGAGAGTACGGCCTGATCATTAATGGACACAGTTTGGTACGACGATGTTTTAGACTCAAAACGGTTTCAAATTCTTTTCCAAATCAAAAAAGGAAAATGCTATCCTGTGCATTAGAGGTCAAACTGCCCGTACATCTGAACTTCTCATCTTTAGGCGTTTGCACTGGAAAAGGACTTGGAGTTGGAGCTGCTGAGGACTGCATGCATGTGCAAGACGGTGATTTGCTGCAGGGTCACTCCTCTGCAGAAGGCACAGGTGGTCCAGCTGGTCAAGAAATACAAGCAGGCTATAACTCTGGCCATTGGAGATGGAGCCAATGATGTCAGCATGATCAAGGGTGAGATCTGGAGCTCCGGTCTAAACAGGAGCCTGCAGAGAATCTTTCAGAACTGACTGATGAATAAAGGATCTCATTCTTTTTATCGTTTAGCTGCTCATATCGGTGTCGGCATCAGCGGGCTGGAAGGGATGCAAGCCGTTCTCTCAAGCGACTTCTCCTTTGCGCAGTTTCGATACCTCCAGCGCCTCCTGCTGGTGCATGGGCGCTGGTCTTATATTCGCATGTGCAAATTCCTGCGATATTTCTTCTACAAGAACTTCACCTACACCCTGGTTCACTTGTGGTACGCTTTCTTCTGCGGCTTCTCTGCACAGGTAAGTAATAAATCCTGGGTTTGCTTTGCAAATGCCTGAAAAGATGGATATTTTGTGCACATGTTGACTTTTTTTGTTAGGCTGTATACGATGACTGGTTCATCACCATGTATAATATGGTCTACACTGCTACTCCAGTTCTTGCTTTGGGCCTCTTTGAGCAGGTGAGACTTAGGCTACGTTCACACTGCAGCCTGAAGTGACCCAATTCCGATTTTTTTGCCCATATGTGACCTGTATCAGATCTTTTTATGACAGTCTGAACGACACAGATCGGATTTTTTCAAATGCGACCCAGGCCACTTGGATATGTGGTCCTGAATCCGATACGTATCTGATCTTTTCAAATGCGACCTGTGTCTGTACGGCCAGGTCGCATTCATCCGACCTACACGTCATTCATACTTGACAAATGTTACTAAACGTTACTAATCTGCGTCCTACTAAGCGGAGGCGGGAAAAACTAACAACCATTGCGGAAGATAACACAGAGAGCAGTCAATGGAGAGAAAGTGAGGTTGCTGACTTAATTCATATTTGGAAAGATAGCTCGATTCAGATCAAACTCGAAGGGTCTTACCGGAACCTGGCTCTCTTTCTTTTGATCTTCTTAAAAAGATTTCGTTCGTAATGTGCCTGCACCTGTTGGAGAAGAACTTAAAGAACGCAATATACGCTGCGGTATTACGAGTCATGTTTACTTCCGCAAACACTGAGGACGCTTGCTACATGTGACGTCATCGCGTCCTCGAGTGCGCATGCGGGACACTTCGGTTGAACGCTTTCAGTTCACACAGTAGATCACATACAAGTCGCATATACTTGGAAGTGTGAACGGACAAGCAAAAAAATCCGATTTCGCAAAAAAATCGGAATTGAGCATTAAGGCCTGCAGTGTGAACGTAGCCTTACTGAAAAGTGGTAGCTCCCTTTATTTACACCGAGGCCTCTGTGTGAATTTTGCTCTTTGCTTCATCTTGCAGGATGTTAACGACCGCTGGAGTTTTCACTATCCTCAGCTCTACTCTCCGGGCCAGCTCAGCAAGTTCTTTAGTAAAAAAGCCTTTGTGCACATTGTGATGATCAGCTGCTACACCTCCCTGGTCATCTTCTTCATCCCCTGGGCAGCCATGCACGACGCCGTCCGGAGCGATGGCAAAGACGTAGCGGATTATCAGTCCTTTGCTTTGTTGACGCAAACCAGCCTGCTGATTGTGGTGAGCGCTCAGGTAAGAACAATGGCGTACCGACACAAAAATAGGCCCGTAAGTAACATTATCTGGGGGGGGCCCATATCTACGCTCTGGATTACCCATAATTCCAAGTCGTAGCGTAAAAAAATAAAACACTCAAATACATTGTTCTTTTAAGATCTTTATTGAGGTTTGAAACATATTATATGAGCATATTTTTGCCAACCGTCTAATGAACTATACACAGTTATTAACATAGTAATTAAAAGTACCACTGTCTGCTTTGCTATTGGTGTCGCGTTTAAACGGAAATAGGAATTTTTCGCACCATTAAATCTTCAATGAGACGTCCTAGTCTACAATTGCATAGGGGGCCTACCAGGTGTCAATGATGGGGCCCCTAAAAGATCCGGGGCCCATAAGCAACTTCTCTGCTTACTGATAGTTGGGTAAGAAGCTCTAATCATCACTGACCAGGGGCGGAGTTAGAAAATGTGAGGCCCTAGGCCAAGACAGACAGGGGGCCCCTGAATTGAGAAGACACCACATAAAACAGACCCATTATACAGATATGTTAATAGAATAGACATACATTATTTGTTCTAGGTTTTGTCCCTCTCTTCCTGTCTCTTTTCTTGTTGTTTTCCTCTCTATGTTGTGTTCTCAGCTGACTTTTCATGCTGTCTCTGTCATGATGTAATTAAGAGATCTGACCCACATACAGAAAACCACTCAGAGAAACCAGAGAAAAGTTTAAAAGGTGAACCGGAACTGGAATTGAGAAGGGAAGGATATAGAGGTTAGTTTAGGGTCCGTGGGAACTTTGAACGACATCTTGCAAACACAGAGATAAACGGGACTCACGATTGCGGAGAAAGGTTTCTTCCCAGAATCCAGTCGATGTGGGTTTTTCCAGAGATTGAGGGGCTCGTTGGAGGGCGGACAGGTCTTTGGTTGTGTTGGTTCCTGAGGAGCAATGGGGCAGACTGCCACTTAGATTTCCTGGAGAATTTGAACGGATCGTGTGGTGATGAATCCCCTGCTCAGTGTGAAGCACAAACGATCCTTCCAGGGGGAGAAGGCCAAACATCTAGAATTCAGGATGACTTCCTGCCGAAGGCAAAGACATAAAATCACTTAGGCTCAGAGAAGCAAAAACTCAGACTCAGCTAAACTCAGCTTGGCTAGAGTACCCAAAACTGGCAAACACTCTGGCGTCGAAGTAGTGGCAGTCCACCGCTTAAGAAGTCCTCAATAATGAGCCAACCAGCAGCAGGTGTGTGGGAGGACCAATGAGAATAGGGCGCCACCTGGTGGTGCAGGGGGAAAATCACAAAAACACGACCCACACAGACTGGATTCCTAACAGTCTCAAAAGGATTGACATTTTTTTTCCAAGCACTAAGCTCACTTAGCTGATTGCTCCTTCCGGTGTCTCCAAAAAGGCAAAAGTAAATAACCCAGTCCTTCTTTTCACTGTCTCCACAAGCAGAAAAAGTCGCTAGATTTGGCATTGAGACACACTTAATATTATAAGCATTCCGATGGCATTTTAAAGAAAGTATTTTGATCAAAAACACAATTAATCTGCACAAATGAGGAATGGTTGTATTAAATATACATGTTTTATGGGGCCCCCAGGAACTTGGGGCCCTAGGCATCTGTCTAGTATTGCCTAATGGTAAACCCCCCCCTGTCACCGACAGAAAAGCAGAAAGACTGTTCTTCAGTGATAATAATGATTCTTTATATGTGGTTGATAGTCCTGCTTAAATACGAATGTCAAGGTGTGTCCAGATCCACAGCCAGAAGGAAAAAGATTATATAGCATATTTTCAATTATGGGTGTTGGTATAAATAATAGCTAAAATATTAATTGTGTCTTTCAGTAAAATTATATAAATTATTTTTATTTTTATTTTTTTTAGATGTTTCTCGACACCAATTACTGGACAGCAATCAACCAGTTCTTCCTGTGGGGAAGCTTGGCTGTCTACATTTCCGTCACCTTTACTTTCCTAAGCAACGGATTGTTTTTCATGTTCACCTCCAGTTTCCCTTTCATTGGTGAGTAGATATCGCTTTTTACAAAGCGAGACAGATTGATTGATACTATAAAATAAGGTTATAGTTGAATTTTGAATGAACGCTACAGAAATAAAATCTGGATTTGATCAACAGAAAGTCAGATGTTAGAAATTAAAGTAATTCAGAAACTGTGATGAACTTAATTATGTTTTTTCTTTTGTCTAAACATAATTTCCTCAATAAATCCATTTAAATCAGGGGTTGGAGTTTATAAGCAATTATAAATTTTGAATGAATGCTACAGAAATAAAATCTGGATTCATTTAAAGCCTTTTTAGGCATCTTTTTCCCACATGAAGGACCTTGATCCTGGAGATTAAAGCATAATAAAAATGTCCCATTTCTTGCCCTGTCAATACATTTAGGGCAATAAACCCTAAAGCTTCGTTCTTAATTTGTAATTAAACAGAAGTAGCAAAATTTAATTAAGTCAGGTTTAATTTTCTTTAACCTCTTACACCCTCAGGGGGTATAAATAAATTTCTGCCTGACAAAAACACACAAAAGTAAATCACGTATAGCCTCACAGCTATTAGATTTAAGAAGAAACTGTTGGTACCTCTGTAAAGGTAAGATGTCATAGAATGGTTTTCTGGTGTCAGCACCATTGTAGCTTTGACCCTGCCTGAAATATTAGGGACAAAATACAAAATATTTTGCATTTTTTGAACCTCGGCAAAATTTTCTTTGAAATAAACATTGCAAAACACTACCAAAATATTATTTATAGCACAAAAAAGTAGTACAGACTTTTAAATCTAAATGTTGTGTAAAAATATACCAAATATGGACTCAATCAGATGAATCATATTTATTTTAGAATGGTTTTAGTGAGAAATTTCTTAGGCGGAGAGGCCATTTTGGCACATTTATCCAAAAATGTCACCAAACTGTGCCAAATGTGTTTTTTACATCAATACTGGGGGTTTGTTAAAATTACGAGGTCACGTAGCAGCTGGACCCACCGGTGGGTCCGTAGGGTTCTAGGGGTTAAGGATTCAATTTTTAGGAAATATTTCGCTCTCAGGAAAAAAAAAAACATCAATCTGAAATAAAGTTATGAACCCATTTAATTAGTCTACGGCATTGTAGAACTGCTCCCAAATCTTTTTATCTGCAAGAAACAGGCTACAAATGTATGGGAATCCCCCTGTAAAAATATACCCTGATCAAAAAGTGGTACCTAAGATCATACCCTGTGGAACCTCATTGTTTAATTGAACCAAAAAGCGTCTCAATACAAACTGTTTTAACCACCAGCTTGAATTATCTTAGGTTCCTTTGCTCTGATACCACGCAGCAACAAAAACAGCAGCATAAACTTTTTTGTTTTATTATAAAAATGTATTTTTGATTTAATTTATTTGTTTGTCCTGCGAAAGCATGATTTTTGTGTGTGTTCTTTGTGGGATTTCAGGTGCAGCGAGGAACTGCCTACAGCAGTCCAACGTGTGGCTGACCATTTTCCTGACTTGTCTTCTCTCCATCCTGCCTACGGCGGCCTATCGCTTCCTCCTCATACAGCTTAGTCCCACCATTAGCGATAAGGTGAGCAACCAACACTGATTTAAAAACAAATTCCTCCTGTATTTTTGAGCAGCAGTTGGCTTTGGTGGCTTTATGACTCAGTGAGATGAAACTATTAGTCAGAATAATTGTAAATAATCTGTTACTAAAATAATAATTAGATATAACACTTGGATTAGACAGAAAGACAAGACGTATGAGAGCAAACTAGTCAAAGGAAGTATATTTACATTTTTTTGGGGTCTTTATAAAAAAAATTAAATAAATGACCATTTAAGAAGAAAAAATTATTCAGGATGCTTGATAGAGAAATATCTAATGCAGTTCAATGTGTGTTTGGGTTCATAATTTTATTGGAACTTCCCATCATCTCCAAGTCTTCACTGTTTACCTGTAGAGTTGAATTTCAGTTGATATATATTTTTTTATGTGGGCTCAGAATTCTTCTTTATGCGGACATTTGTTTTTTCCTATGGCAGGTATTACATTTGAACACGTTTTAGTAGGAACGTCTTTCTTTTTCACCACCCACTTCTTTCAGGGTTAAGGTCCAAATGCCTCCCTATGGACTGGGACACTAATGTTCTAGGACCGTCCTGACTTCTTTCATGGGATATGGAGTCTTACTGCTCATTTCACTTAATTCTATATTGCCTGCTTGTATGAAAGATGCAGAACATGCATCCAATCAGTTTTGGAATGGATAAATCGTCTGAAATAGCCCTGATCCTAAGACCAGTGTTGTAGTACTCGAGATCGGTCTTGGTCTTGAGACCATTTTTTGATGGTCTCGGTCTCGTCTCGGACTTGACCGCATTTGGTCTCGGTCTTTTCTCAGGCGCTGAGGACTCGGCATTTTATTTCAAGACCGGTCAAGATCACAACTGTGGAAATAACGCTAATCATCAGAATATTATCAGTTTCTTTAAGATCCTTCTTTTTATTGGATGCTTGGATTCAAATCCAAGCAATAACCTGTCTCATTGGTGAATGCAGTGAAGGAGATCAATCTATTTTTTCAACAAATTATCTGTCTCATAACATATTTTCACAACTTGGTGACAGATATAGATTTATTCAAGAAAAGTTATATAATATAGCTTTAATCTGTATATGAGAGAGAAACAAGAGAAATGATTGGCTTTTTTTTTCAGTTTTACACATTTTACAGAATTTTGCACATTGTTTTGAAATAGCACATTTAAAAACAACATAAATGTATGTACTGTTCATAAACAGCAGAGAAAATACAATTTTGATCGACTTTGATTAATTGTTTGAAATTCTGTGATTACTACACAGAAGTACTAAATAAAGATGTTAATGTTTAGTCCAGTTCTGTGTGTTAAATATCTAGGTGTTTTTATGTGATTGTGGGTCTTTTAGATCAATTTTTGTGATTTTGACCATGTTTCACATTTTATTGTCACATACTGGCGCTGGTCTTGGTCTTGACTTGGTCTCGGACCCTAAAAGTCTTGGTCTTGTCTCGGTCTCGATACACTCTGGTTTTGGTCTTGTCTTGGTCTCGGGTTAGGTGGTCTTGACCACAACACTGCCTAAATCTAATGGAAATATCTACACTGTGCTTCAAAGTCATAAAATTACAAGAATAAAGTCTTAATACTATGAGAAAAAAAGTCACAACGAGAATAGTCATAAAGTTACAAGAAAATATTCGAAATATTAACAGAATATATTGTCCTAAAATTACGAGAAACATGTTGTATTTTATGACAACTCCTAAAAGAAGCCCTTTCTTCACTAAAATGGGAATGTAAAAAAACAAACAAGAAAAACAATTGTAAAAAAAATAAAAATCACAGATTAATTACTAAGTGTAGTTCTGAACTCCACCAGTAGATGGTGACATGTTCACATGAAGCTTCATGAACTGTGAGGATCGTTGAAGCAACTAGGCCTAATGGTTCAATGCCTCATGAGGCTTCATCTCACCATCACTAGTTGAAACTCAGCAGCCAAAAGACAAACTGTTTGTTCGAGCATTTAAACTGTCCTCTTCTCCCCCCTCCTCCATCTTTAGGTGAGATATAAGGCAAAAGAGGAGGGGCAGCCCACTCCTGCTCCTTACCGGCCACCAGCCAGGCGGGTCAGCACCCGCCGCTCCAGCTACGCCTTTTCCCACTCCCGGGGCTACGGCAATCTGGTGACCTCCCGCAAATTCCTGCGGCTGAGGAAGCCTTCGTCCCTGTTCAACAGAAAGGAGGCCGCTGTGGTGGAAACTCAGCCACAGTTCTACCGGACCATAGCAGAGGAGACGGAGGAGTCTCACACTTAGGATGCAATCAGAGACTGAATGACAATCATTTGTGTTCCTACTTTGGAACCAAACCAAGGAATGGCTGGGAAAGGATGCCACGGGGGACGACTCAAATGATGGTGTTATTAAAATGAAATTTACACGAAATGAATGTTTATTGATGATACATAATGACCTCATTGTGAGTATATTGCATTGAGCAAAATATGCAATAAAAGCTCAGTCTGGTGCTTTCTTTATGTTTTTCCTATTTATTGTTAAATATGTCAGTGTGTAGGATGGTTTTAGGCTATAGGAGATGGAAAGAAACAACCTTATGAGGTGATTCAGTCAATTCTAGGGAAGGAAGGAAGGAAGGAAGGAAGGAAGGAAGGAAGGAAGGAAGGAAGGAAGGAAGGAAGGAAGGAAGGAAGGAAGGAAGGAAGGAAGGAAGGAAGGAAGGAAGGAAGGAAGGAAGGAAAAAAAAAAGACCTTCCACCATTTTAATGGTCCACTCTAAAGAAAGGCCCCCAGCATGACATTTCCTCCACCATGCCGAACCACAGGAGTGAAAATGGTTTTCAGGGTTGCTTGTTGTTCCTCTAATATGTATATATGTCTGTTTAATTATATATAATGATATAGAATTTATGTAAGCAGTTGATTTCTTGTAGAATATAGATTCCTGAGTTATTTTGATTAACAGAAAGTCAGACGTTAGAAATTAAAGTAATTCAGAAACTGTGATGAACTTAATTATGTTTTTTCTTTCGTTCAAACATAATTTCCTCAATAAATCCATTTAAATCAGGGGTTGGAGTTTATAAACAATTATACATTTTGAATGAATGCTACAGAAATAAAATCTGGATTCATTTAAAGCCTTTTTAGGCATCTTTTCCCCACATAAAGGACCTTGATCCTGGAGATGAAAATATAATAAAAATGTCCCATTTCTTGCCCTGTCAATACATTTAGGGCGGAGGTCTTCAACAGGAGGTCCGTGACCCCTAGGGGGTCCTCGGAGGTACTGCATGGGGGTCACGAAAGTTTTGGTTGATTAGACTTCTTTTTTTCCACCAAATGAAATGTCTTTAAATCCACATTAACATGAATTCATCACTCTGTAGTAAACAGATAAATGGGGGCTGAAGATGTCTTTCAGATATCAATGCCAGTGGCGGTTCTAGACCAAATGTACGAGGGGACCAGAAGGGGGCCAGCGTGTTTTCATGGGGGCACAGAAAAGCAGTAAATAAAAAACAGGGCAAGGGATTCAAATATATTAAGAGAGCTGCATGAAATGAAATTTCTATTCAATTAGGTTTAATTATTAAAATTCTATTTCTTGTTAGATCAATAGACATTCATAAATTTGAAATTTAACATATTTTTGACTTAATTTGAGTTAAAATTACGTTTTTTTTCTAAAAATCTGAATTGGAACTCGAGAAAAATTGATAAATTCTGCCATAAAAATTAGAGGAATTTGTTTTGAAAAAGTAACATTTAGCAGATGATTAATTAGGGGGGTCCCCGCTCCATCTCGCCAACGATTTGGGGGTCCTTGGCCTGGAAAACGTTGAAGACCCCTGATTTAGGGCAATAAACCCTAAAGCTTCGTTCTTAATTTGGCTTAAAACAGAATGATACTTGGAAGAAGAAGAAATGTACGTGAAACATGTATGAAACAAGTCATTGAGTGTTTTCTGGTGTAGTGTTTACTAAAAGATGAAAACTGATGACATCAATGTAAACAAAACATTTTTGTTTATTCGGGTTAGTAATGCATCTTAAAACCTGACAAGCGAGGACCACCCTGTTAGATGCTGATTTAAAGGTTTGATGAAGCAGGAGATCTGGGGGATGTGATGATGAGGATCATGGCAGACCCAGATGGGAGGAACTGGAACCAGTAGAAAAGTGAAAAGAAGTGAAGAACGAAGTCATAGAGCAAGAGAAGCTGGATGAGGGTAAATTAACAGATGATGCACCTTTCTCCTCTTTAACCTTGAGGTTTTCTGGTCTCCAGGTGAAATCCTGTCTTTGTCTTTCATTCCTCCAACCAAGCTTTATTCTCCAGCCTGCAGGAAGCCTCTGTAATAACCCCAAATGTCCACTGTGTGGAGCTGTTCCCCATTAGTCATCAGATCATTTATGTTTCTGTTGGTTTGATAGAACTTTATTACTCCTTGGGTAGAGGAAATTATTAGTGAAACTTTTATTATCTGTATAACAGTAAATCTGTTTTTTTTTATCATAATTTAATTTTTAAAACTAGATATAAACGGTAGGTTGGAATACATGTTTTTTAGCAATTAGATAACTTTTGAATCGAACGAGCCAAATTAGTAACAGTTGATGGTCTCTAATTCATGGTTTCTTAGCCCTGGTCCTCATTTTTAGATGTTTCTCTACTCAAGCATACCTGATTCTAAGGATTGCATTGCCTCCTCAGCAGCCATTAAAATCTGCAGAACCTTGTTGATCACCTTTTCATTCAGGTCAGGTGTGTGGAGGCAGAGAAACACCTAAAGCAGGTTCCAGAAAGGACCGTGTGGCTGCAGGTTTTCCTTCCAACCAAACAATCGCACACCAGATTCCAGTCACCTCATCAAGTCATCATGTTCAGATTTGACTCCCACCTGTGACCTAAAGCAAGCAGGACTGTGGGCCCTGAGGACCAGTTAAGAATCCCTGATCTAATTTTCTTAACATCTCATAGAACTCGATAGGTTTCCCTTGTTGAACTTGATTAAAGAAGATTAGCTACAGCTGAAAGACTGAAACTGATCTGTTTTCAGTCCGAATCCTCAAAAAATGAAACATTCTTCTTTATCTCTGACTTCTGTCAAACTTCTACTATTAGGGGCCCCTAATAACCTTCAACATGGGCCCATAAACCTGGGAGGAGATACATATAAAGCAGGGCAGGAACTCCTGGAATTTTTAAATATGTCCTTGACTAAATACACCGGAATCAAATAAATAGATCATTAAAACGACTCTGGATAAATTGATTGCATTCTGGGGAGCTAATTCAACTATTTGATTCAGTTGTGTTGAACCAAGGATGAATCTAAAGTTGCAGGAAACCGGCCCTAAAGGACTGCACTGTAAAAAATCTAAATCTAGATAAGTAATTTTTTCTTAAAATAAGTACATTTGTTCTTGAATTGAGGAGGTAAAGAGACATTTTGCCGATGAAACAAGACAATTTACATTTAAAATAAGAAAACACAATTGCATTGTCTAATTTAAAGTGCATATTATCTAATTATCTCATTGTAAGAGTAAAATTACTCATTCCATTGGCAAACTATCTCATTTACCTGCTCAAATTAAGGGTGAATACACTTAATTTAAGAAATGTTTACTTATTTCTAGATCGTTTTTGCAGTGAACTCCGCTGACCAGAGCTGGAAAGAGTACTAAAAAATTGTAATTGAGTAAAAGTATCTTTAATTTGCCTAAATTCTACTCAGAGTAAAAGTAAAATTATCCATCTCAAAATTTATTCAAGTAAAAGTACAAATTGCTTCATTTAAAATGTAATTTGAGTAAAAGTTACTTAGTTACTTTGAGTTATTTAATGCATAAAAAGGATGAGTCATGAATCGAATTGAGCACAAGCTGTTTTAATCGATTTCAAGGCGTATTTCAGTGGACATCCACACTTGCAAAAGATCAGCTGAGCTAAAGAACATACTTCCTCACAGCACAAGGACAGTCACAACCTGAACCATAAAACTGCAAACTATTTTCAATCCTGCTGTCCAACAGACAACACCATGATAACTAACTTACCGCCACATTTTCGTAAATTTGATGTTTTAAAAGCCGAAAGCTCCGTTTTGCAGGGCAGGCACATGTTGCACTGCATTATCACATTGGTCCCTTTTGTGCATTTGAAAACAAATAATCCTTCCAAATATGGCCGAGGGTTTTTCTGGCTTTCGTCTCCAGAATATGTTTCCTCTTCAGGCCTTTCCTCATCCATACTCCCTAAGTTGTGATTAGCAGCTGCCATCTTCTGAAGCGCAGCACTGGATTATGAGACAATACAAAGGGTAAATGCAAGGCAGGGACATATTTCATTTTTTCACAATCAGTATTTTGTTTTTTCTTTACTCAGTAACGTGAGGGGGTTTTAAATGTAGCAAAGTAAAACTACTTAGGTTAAAATTTACTCGAGTAAAAGTAAAAATCACATATTTCAAAAACTAATCAGAAAATTACAAATTACTCATAAAACGTACTCAATTACAGTAACTTGAGTAAATGTAATTCATTACTTTCCACCCCTGCCCCTGATATAAAGTATGTTGAAGCATCCCTGCTGATGATCAGCTCTGTTTGATGACCCTCCTCTAGAGGGCGCTGAAGATCTGCAGCATTGTGGGTTTTGCTCCTGATTGGCAGCAGAATTTGTGTTATTTTCACCACCAAAAAAAATCTTTTTAGAAAAGAAATACAAAATAAAATACATCACAGATCTTCATTTTATTCATCCTTTATTCTGAATGTGCAAAATTGGTTGTTATTATGAAGACCTATGATTGACATCTTTTAACAGACATGGTATTTTAAATACACCATGTAAAAAAAAGTGAAACTTCCCATTTGCAACACATTCATTAAAATCTTGCTGTTCTTTTACCTCTGCTTCCGGTTTATTACAGCAAAATGTAACAAAGAATATGGCTACATTGTGCTTTGCATCACCTGTGGATGGAAACACTCTTTATTTCATATTTTCTTATTTATTTTTTAGATTAATTTCACTCAAACTCTGCCTGAGCTTTGGATGGGAAAACTGCTGAGTGTGTCACCCAATGATGTAAGACCAGTAGGACGTTTGTGTGAAAGTGTGTGTCGATGTTCCAACAAAATATAGAAAAATATGTTGTGTTATGGAAGGAAATTCTCCAAAAACCTGATCCACATCAGACAGTAGGTGACTAAAGTGGATCTGAAGTTGAAGAACGTTGAAAAAAACGTGTCCCTCTGCTGATTATGATGGCATCTAAAGGAAAAGTCCTATTTAGAATTCAAACTTCTGAAAGTACATTCAGTTTCAATTCAATTCAGTTTATTTATATAGCGCCAAATTCACAACACATGTCATCTCAAGGCACTTTACAGTTCAACCAGATCATACAGTCAAATTGATACAAAGTTTTCTATCTAAGGAAAACCAGTTGATTGCATCAACTCATTGACTCAAATACAATCCCTCACACTAAGCATGCTTGTAGCG